AAGCCTGTGTGTTTTAGCTCGGATATTTAACTAATATCAATGTCTACCTAACACATTATCAACCAAAACTGACGATGTTAGAAGTCAGGCTGTCCTGGTGAGTTTGTGTAATTCCTTTGAGCAAAGAATGATGAGAGGCACTTCAAAACCAAACAAATGACAGGACATGCAGCCCCACATTCACTGCACTCTTTTATTGGCTTTATTGTCATTCAAATTTGACCCAGGAAATCACCCAATAAGATCATAATGTACATGTATCTCTATCTTTTATAGGAAAGATTACAGATGCTTGTTACATGCCTGTGATTTTCTCAATAAGATTCAACAGCCTGTGACTTATCTAAAAAATACAGCTCCATTGCTGGACCCAGAGATATTAAATCTACAGTGTTGACACGACAAAATATCAAGTACTTCATCATTGTTGGACATTCACATAGAATCTACAATATGTACAGAACCAACATTGTCATCTCTATTTTTATTACATCACCCTCACTACTATCTCCATGAATTAATTATTACTTGCATCTTCATTTTCAGCATAAAGACTGCTCGATTTGCCATATTTCAGTGAAAGTGCCTCATTGTTCAATACATAAAATATCATCTCCATCAATCAATCGATCAATCAATCAATCAATCAATCAATCAATCAATCAATCAATCAATCAATCAATCAATCAATCAATCAATCAATCAATCAATCAATCATCTCTAAGTAATTCCTTCTCCAAAAAATGTGCATACAAGATCTGTATTATTGTAAGTTTATAAAAAAGCCGACGTGTGTCAAAAATATGCTTAGAATTATCACTCTCCAGCTTACTAGTGCCAAACATGCATGCTAACTTGATACTGTGTAACATCTTTGGATAGAAGAAAGGACTCTTTGGCCTTTTTGGCGACGCCTCAGGGGCGGAGGCATTTGTGTAAGTACTGCGATCGCTTTGAAAGAATTTCAAAAATTGCATGAATGCATTCCCTAGGGAATTGGTTTTGAGGTAGCCTCCTGCCTTGTGGTCATCAGAACAAGCAGGAAAGGCTTATGTTACCATGCATGCAATAGCACCTTTTCGGGCAAACTGTGGCTTTTTGCACACAGAATATTAATGATTGTCTTTATTGATATTTCAAATATGTTTTCTTCTATCAAGAGAGAACAAATTTCTTACTCAGGAGCAGCATATTCAAGCTTATAATATTTCAAATGTGTTTTTAGTTGCAACTATATGATGCTGGTCGTTTTTTTATAACTTTACTGTGTGACACATGTAGTGTAACAGTGATGTTTTGTGTAAGGAATTTTATTCACTAACTGACTTGTGTGTTTTCTATCATGTATGTTTGTGTCAGTCTTGCTTTTTTATTTATTATTTTCTTCGCTTTCATGATGCTGTTGCATTCCATGCTTGTTTTTCAATTTTGGCTGCAAAACATGAATGCACACCCCAATCCTTCCACGACTAGGTTTCATGCTAAGGTTTCATGCTAGCCAGTGAACTCCTGCTGTAGTCTGCATCTCAGGGTACGGTGGACATGGCGAAGTTTACCTGTGGGTATAAAGAGAGAAAAGGGCATAAATGAAACGTATATCTGAATTAAGTTTGAATAAGTTCTTGTATTGTACTGGTAATTGTGAGTTGTTATGTATCACCTTATGGACAAAAATGGCTGTTTGAAACTTATTTATGTCATATACCGTCAAGATTTTCAAATCGTGAAATAGAACCATATCGTCATAATATTATAATTGTAATAAAAAGTTTAAGAGTATTTTATTTCAGTATAGCCTGGCAGTTAGACCATCGTAGACTGCCTGGTATCCGTACGGTGCGTTGGGTACTGCCCGCCCGCTCAAATCAATTAGTGCATGCCAGGGTGTTTACGGGGTTGGTTTTGTTTGCCTACATGATGACAATAACTAGAAAGGTCAACTGGAAAGATTCATAGCTAGTATGTCAAAAGAGGTTTATGTCTAGTATGGCTGGGGCCTGTAGAACAACCCTTAGAAAGCCAAATATGTATCTATCTGTTAGAACGCCGTGGTTAGAATTGCTTTGCTGTAGGTGGAACGTGTGTCAGAACTAGCATGACCTACGAATTCGGACACTATTCAAGCTCATGAATAGGTGAAATCTCTAACCTAACAAAAGCGGTGAGTATCAGACAAACATTTGGGAGGGTACACAAAATGTTTTAAGTTGAATGATGTTAAGTTGTCATGAAACAGGCATTTGACACTTTTGTAAGAAAGAAAGTGAAAGTACACACGTAGCCTGTGTAGGTCAAAATATACTCTTACTACTACAGGAATGGTCAGGGACAGGCAAGCCTAGTCAACCTCGGGTACAATTTCTGGATAAAGATATGGCTTTATATAAATTTTTCTAAGACCGCTGATAGTATCGACTTTCTAGCGAACATAAAACATGTAGTTAAGAATTCTTCAATGTAATAGAATATTTCACAAATCACAACCAAATTGTACTTTCTCAAAAAAGACGTAAAGAATTTTTCTACGGACAATTTCCCAAGATCACAAGAACTGTTTTACGATGGTACTATGACTATGGGGAAAATTACTGTCGACATTATCGTAAACTGTAATACATTGCCAAATCATAGGTCATACATGTAATTCTTCTTCACATATAGTGGTAACCCCATTTAAAACCACAATTAACAACTTCTTAAGGAAGGGTTTATAAATACAAAAAATACTAGATTATTTTGCGACAGAATTGCAGGGGTACAGACGTCACGGCTACAATCGCAACATTTGTTACAGGTATGTAACACATCAAATAACATAAGGAAGTACAAAATAATATACGGTGAAACATACCTCTCAGCTTACCTTAGGCCTGGACGAGCCTGGTATGGTATTTATTAAACCATCGTGGGCTGCCGGATATCTCTGCGGTGCTGGAAGGACTGTACGGCCGCCAAGCATGGTCCATCCGCGCTGTCTTTCGTACAGGACCAGATCCTAGAAAGCCCGGTGTACTGGGCTGATGTGGCCATAGCCTCGTAGTCGTATCCAGGTTTACGTGGTTGGGGCCGGACTCTCTACGGGGGATCTAATAGTTTTTCCCCGCCGGCTCAACTGGTAGCCCGATGTGTCAGTGTCATGCCTGTAGAGTTTTTGCCAAGAGTTCCCTACCGAGCACACGTCTGTTCCACCACACAGCTACAGCCTGACTGGTTTAGACTTTTGTGAGAAAGAAAGCAAAAGGATGGAAGCTCCGCCCCCTATAGCAGTATCCTGTTTCCTAGATTCCATCCTATTGGCCTATCTTAGAATAACAGTAACTTTAACTGGGGGTATCTATTACCTCAGTGTAATATACACCACCCATCCAGGTGTCCGGCGTGATTAATTATTGCCATCTGCCATCCCCCACCATGGACAGTTATCCAGAGAGCACAGCCTCTGAAGCAAAGCAGTATCCTGTTTCCTAGATTCCATCCTATTGGCCTATCTTAGAATAACAGTAACTTTAACTGGGGGTATCTATTACCTCAGTGTAATATACACCACCCATCCAGGTGCCGGTGAGGAGTGGGTTTATTCAAACAGATCACATAGAGAAAAGAAATTATACTTTCTTTGGGAACCCAGGATAGGTCAAAGAAGTCCTAGGAGTAACTTAATTGACAACCTCACATCAGACGTAAATTACAGTCTCTGATGGAGGAATATAGAGTGAAGTGGAAAGTGTTTTTTTGTTTGGTTCGAGCGGGAATTTGACCAAAGTAAAGTAACTATTATAGTAAGTATATCATCGCCGGGGAAGAATGCTGACATGTATACAGCCTCACACTTCCTCCATGCATCCTGTAAATTCCACTATGTACAGGCACGCGTTTATAAAATAATAATCTGTTTTTCCTATTATTGTAATGGAGATTTCTAGCTCCACCACATGCAATAATAATCATTCAGTCTTGGCCTTGATCTTTTATTGTCTGCCTCGTTATCTGTATCCCCGCCTTCACACACGGTCCGGATTGGCCACCTAGGATCCGCCCCAGAAGCCAAAGGAATTTCATTCGTACTAACTAGTGAAGAACTGAAGTATTATATAGGCACCAACTGACTAATCTCCAAGCAGATCCCAGGGTGGTATAAGACAGCCAAGGGTGGCGTATCGGACCATCTTTAGCAACCATTTTCCATTATGGAAATTTAGAACTGCCATATGCTGTAAATGTGTGTAGTTAAGAATATTGTACCGTAAGCCCCACCTTTAGGGAGGTACCTTCTGCCCAGCTTGACAGGGTTTGACAAATAGATTGACAAATAGCCCCTGACAATTATTTGGTAAACACGGAACAAAAAAACATTTTTAGAGGGCTGTTGGAAACAGAACTTGGTGTATGAGTATGTCGGTAAGAATGGACTTCCAAAATTTTTTAAGAATCATACCACGGATCTCGGTAAAAGCTAGAACTATATCTTGTTATGATTCTATTACCATTCCGCTGTCGGGAAGATATATAGATCCCAGTCAGTTTCTGACCGTGCCTCAGGTTTTATCGCATGAGGTGAGGCGCACTTTACCTGAGCACCTGCTAATTTACGCCAGGCAATACATGGCAACAAAGAAATATGGTTTCTTAAAAGTGTTACAGGTCTAACACGAGTACCGTCCCGCACACGTCAGCCGAGGTTGATGATGGTGGAAAGAAGCCGCATGCAATACTCAAACTCAAAATACATCCGTTGTTTATCAAGCTAAATTGAATGCATGTTGAATATAGTTAGCAAGATATGCGACATTGTGTATGTTTGGTCGGGATTCGAACTCCCAACCTCTTGGTCCAGAGGCACGGTCACCATAAGGTATAGGAGTGACATGCTGTGTTTTAATTTAGGTCACTGACCGACACCAGGGATTGTACGATATTTACCTGGGGTGGGCTGGTACGTTGACGGGAGATGCACAAATAAAATCGGGGCCACCAACCAACATATTACAGAAAAAATCGTCGCCAGAGTCTTTTTTAAGACTCAACTTGTTGATACAACACACAATCCAAAAACATTGACAATCGAACAAAAATCTCAAACTAAACCAGTACCAATATCAAGGCAAACTTACCAGTAAGATATACACCTGCATAGAGTTGTAAAAATGCTACACATACAGTCATGGTCTCAGTCCGTTTTCTCCTATTTTGCAGATAATATTACATGTGTATGTGCATTTAGATTGATATAAAACCATTATCACTGACATGTAAGATTCTCTAAAAATATACGAATGTAACAAAAAGGAATGTGTCATGGATTTTAAAGCCCTTTACAATACAATATTAAGTTCATTGCAGAAGGACAAGCTGTATTTACATGTACATGTTCAGTCTCCTTGATACAGCAAAAAGAGACACTTGGATGGGTCAATCCCAACCAACTACAACAAACATCTAACAATTATGTATATATCCAACAACTGTAAGTTTGGGGCCGCATTGTAGAATGATACAGTTCCCTGTAACCACGCATATGTTTAGATATGTAAATATTGTACGTTTTGGGAATGCATCTATGGCAGCGACACCTGTGCTACAGTGCAATGTGAACCAGTCAGAATTGCCTTGAGGAAGGTGACAGATGGTCACTGAAACATTGGCTGAATAAAACACTTGGTTGTGTAAAAATAATGTCTTTACTCAGTGACTTACCAACCTGATGAAACTATTCACTGATACAAACAAGTATTCTCCATGTAACTATCACCAAAATGTCTGAAAGTGATCTTGAAATTGTGTGTTTGTTTTCACTTTTACATGAAATAGAACTCTTTGAACTTTGGTAGAAAAATTGAGATTGAGCCCACTGTTTCATACTCAAAATACAATAAAGTTATTGTTTTATGCCATTAAACTGAACATTTTGATATTCCAAAAGTCATTTTCAGAAAAGGTGAACCCTTGACAGCCCCCCTCCCAAATGCACAATTTTAGAAATCAATAGATATTATTGCTTTTTGACATGAAAAATACTGGGAGGAATCAAAACCACTCATCTCATTCACTGTATCAAGGTCAAAACACGGCATTTAACTTTAGTTGCATAAATTTAGTAAAATGGCTTTAAAAGTACAAGGAAAAGGTTGCATTTCATATTTTCAGCAGTCGTCTAAATCTCCTCCTGGCAAACATCCGGGCAAAGAAGACCAACACGGCAGCTCCTACTAGCATCAGCATCAACAGCTGCCCCTGCTCTCCAACCTCGAAAGCCCCCTGGGTGGGGGCGCCCTTCCTGCCTGTATCCCCCGGCACATAGGGGTCCACCAGGTAATGCAGAAACGCTGCCAGCGCTCCGGCTCCCACTGCTGTCTTGTGGGACAGGCACCCATCTGATGGCACAGAGGACAGCAAGAATTAGTGTAACAACACAAAGGAAGCACTGGCAAGGTATTGATTTTTGAGTCAAATATCAAAGGGTGGAAAGACCGTGTGGCCTTTATACATAAGTTGATTCAATGTAGCTACATTCTGTATGTAGCATGTTGTTATGTCAGAATATGTCAGATAAAAAAATTGGATGTAACACAATAGTAATATTGCAAAGGAATGAAAGGAAAAGAATCCTACCTTTCAATGCTTTCTCTGCCAGTAACCTCCTTTTAGGTGGTGGGAACAGGCCTCCCTGCATCTGTCTACAGGGGTAGGAAAGAAACAATCATATTCATAAACCTTAAGCACAATAGGGAGCTGTAGCTGAAGTGTGAACAGTTCTGTTACGTGGGTGAAGGTTAGACATCCAGGTAATATGATACGCCAAAAAGCAGTTACTCAAGCAACTGGATATGATTTTGGAAACGGTCAGACGTTTCAGTTGTGAACAGTTCTGTTCTCTAACCTATGGACAAATAAAAAGTTCAATTTTACTGCTTACTGTTAGCCCAAATTTTGAGTTCCAAGATTAAAAGTTTTAATCTTGGAACTCAAAATTTGGGCTGCAAGCAATCCTCTACAAGCCTCTTTATACAAAAGTTCCTGACTTATGATTCACTGAAATGCAAATGGCAGACAGCATTTATAACTATGATGATGTACTCATTGATACAATGCCTTTGAAAATTACAATCAGGTGCTTTACAATAAAAGAAGTACAAGTACTTGTCCTGTTTCCTGATGACTCTGTTTGCTGCCTCATCATCCTCCTCCTCATCACTGCCAACCTCCCCTTCGTCCTTCCTGAAGCAGCCAGACGCGTCCTGCCATGTCAGGATCATGTCCAGCCACGGCTTCCGCATGAACTCATAGTATCCCATAATGCCACAGGTGAAGACTGAAACAGAGAACAGGATGAACAAAGCAATTCTGGTTTGTTATAAAGTTACACTCATGATTATCTTATGTGATATGTTTATTATTTGACCTATTATGATAATCATATTTTGTATAAATGCTTTTAAGAAAACATGATATTCTCTGCCATTCACACTGTACCTTACTTTGATTTTTCTTTAACAGTTTGTTGGGCTTAGCTCATATTGAGTAACTTTCACCTTCTCAAGGTATTTCATGTAAAAGAAGATTAAATTGTATGTAGCAAAACATTTACAATGAGATAGGTATGGTTTCTAGGGGGCAACTGACTAAAATACTTGAACCATAAAACCATGGCAAACACATAAATATTTAGCAAAGGAAACAACTGAAGGTCTCTTACTCTGCTCCATGAAGATGTCCTGTTCACTAGGCTTGAGCCCTCTCCTGACCACAGCCTCCACTTCCCCCAGCATACTGGAACAGAAGCGATGTTCCAGCTCCTGCACACCACCTGCAATACTGTGTTTCCTCGCTAGGGCATCCAACTCATCTTTACAGCCCAACTGCAGGGGAAGATTGAAATAACATTATGCATATTCCCTGTATGTGGCATCCAAGGAGTAGCTTTCAAATGTTGTAATAAAGTACACATTATCACTACTGTCACTCTGATAGGTTTGCTATTCAATGGCAGAACAGCATGGCTATCACGTTGATAATGCCTGGCAAGAAACTGACAAGAAGAAGCCAATTTTCCCAGCTTGTATTTGATATTAAGCTGCTAGAGTAGCAGCTAATCAGTCGGATGCTAATCATATTTCTGCCTGGCTAGGTTTTGCAGTCTACCACCCCAGAAATGTAAGATGGTCAGAAAACATTGTGATTCTCAAACCAAACATCTGCTTGGAGATCTAGTTGACCAGCACAGTTTGCCCCACCTGTTCCCCCAGCACAAAGAACAGCAGCTGGTGTGTGAGGTAGTAGGAAGCCTTGCCGGGAGCACTCATCAGTCGCCAGCACTCGTCGTCCACTGTACACGGCCGCTCCACATCCCCGCTGCCCAGCAGACCAGTCATACACTTATCACTCTTCTCTTCTGTCAGCTGATCACCTCCTGTGGGTGTGGAAGGGTGGGAAAAAAGACAGTCATGAGTGAAACATATCTCCACGCCTACTTCTGGTGTAACATTAGTATTATTATTAGTCAAGTTGTTTGCCTATCTCACATGTCATATAATGTTAAATATGGAAAACTTTCTTGTGTCATATTCACATTTAGTTTAGTTCTGTAGTAAGTAAATATGAGCATCATAAAGGAACCTGCCATGTCTAAATCTATAGTTGCATCATGCTTTTGTCCATGGGAGCTGTAGCAGCTTACTACCTTCTACAGTAGCTTTTGTTTGAACAGGGAGGAACAAACAGCCCAGATGTTTACACACTTCTTCGTTTCTTTAGAGAGTTTTTCTTTACTCTCGAAGGCAGCACTGGGTAACCTAAAGTAAAGTTGTCCAGCATGCAATCATTGCTTAGGAGATATTTTTGATCCTAAAAAAGGTATTCAGCCAGAGCAGCCCTACCAGGCACAGTGGCTATTGAGCAGGGCTAGACAATAAACTGGATAGTGTGTGTATGTGTGAGTGCCCTGGTGATTACTCACCCCTCCTCCTGTTAGTCTGTCGTGCAGCCATGGACAGGTCCGCCTTGCGGTAGGTGTGACGCATCTTCCATGGTCGGGCAACTATGTACTTAAATTGCCTGTGAAAATATACAGTGTGAATATAAGGCACATGAAAACAAAATGCATTAATGAGAATGAGAATAGAAAGTATGTGCTTGGATACCAGGTTCATTGACTTGCCTTTCAATATTGCTGTCAAAATCTTAACAAAGTGGAAAACGTTAGCAAACAGATAACAAGAGGACATGATTATTTAGAAGAAAACTGCAATATCAAAACCCAGCCTGTAGAGCCAGCTGAGCACTAACAGAGTAATTATTGTTCTGTCCATGATTCACCTCAGCAGACATGTACATTCACTTGTTGTAACGTTATAAATCTTAAACATTGGTTACCATGGCAACAGTGCTCACCTGAAGTACTCAGGATCCATGTCCTGCAGGTGAGGGATGGCCATGTTCCCCACTCCTGACGCCTTCATGCTCAGCTCCTTGATGTGATCTGCCGTGGTGCGGTCCAGACGCAGACGCCTGCCCTGTTCATACTCCTCACGAATCATGAGAAGTTGGCCTGTGACAGGAAAAAAAATGGATGGAAAACTAAGCCCCATCCCACAACATTAAACTAAAGAACAATTTTGCATAAGTTATTACTGCATAAGTTATTTGGAGAATCTGATGTGGTGTTAATGATTACAGAGCGATCTGTGACATTTCTGATTTTACAATTGCTGCTTTACATTTCCAGCTGCTGGTCGTTTCCGCTAAATGGCGGTTCGACCGGTCGGCTGGCTCATTATAAATGACTTACAGTAGTTAACTCCCCCCCCCAAAAAAAAACTAACATAATGGTGAATCAATCTGTAACGTTGATGACCAACAAGATTAAGAGATTCCAAAAGTCCTTCCTCAAGTTTGTAATGACATACGCATGTAGCATGACGAATCCATTGCTGGTGTCCAGAAATCAAATAATTAAACTAATACCTTCCAGAGCTCTGAGTCCAAATATTCCATCGACGTTCATATCCTGGTAATTGTCCGCATAGTAGTTCACAATTCTGTCTATCGAGTCTATCATGGTGTGCATGGGCATGGGGAAGTGCAAGGAAGTGGGCAGAAACGCCAGCACCAGGGACAACACCAGTTGAACCGCCTCCACATGCATCCTGCACACCATGTTTTTCACCCGGAAGTCGTTGTTCAGCGCTGCTGTTGGGGGCGTTTCCAGCCTGCAATACCGCCCAAAACTGCCAGTCCGCGTGTTTATGTGAGCGCGCGACAGTTGACCCTTGACACGGAATTTTAAAATGTCCGGAAGCTCGTCTGGTCAAGGTAAACCATATGGTTTTAGATTTCTTTACATTTTCTAAAGAAAGTAAAGTACTAGACATCGTTTTCAACCGATTCTGAACCCTTGCAAAGGCTTCAAGAAGGTGGGGAATGAAGTAAAAAGTACGGAATGCTCTCGTATTGTTATTTTTCGTGATGTTATGTTAACGTTACCACATAACGTTAATTTGATTATCTTGCTTGGCCCCCTTTGAACCAAATACATAAGTGTTGTGTCGCCATGGCGCGTCTGTTGTCGCTGAAGAAACTGCTGTTGGTGTACTTTGTCATGTCCACTGGTGCTCTACTCTGGCTGATCCTCAACTTCGGTAAGTCTGAGAATATTGCTGAACCTTTAATTTTTGCTTTATTTCAGTGTATGGAACAGACTATTTACAAAGGATATTTACTGTATCTTCATACGTCTTGCTCATCAGTAGTGTACTGCCAATATTTGGAATTTCAAACTTGGTATTAATGTGAAATGTTTATTCATGTCTGCTCTGGCCTTTGTTTTTGACTCTCACAGGTTTGTTCTGCCACACAAGCAGTAAAGAAGAAGAAACACTTCTTACAAAGACAAGAGAACTAAGACACTGGGAGGAGCGTCTCAGAAGAAGGGAAAGAGACTTACAGAAGAAACCCCAGCAAGATGCCAGCCTGCCTACCATCTATGCCATCATGCCCACCCACACCAGGCATGTACAGAAGGCAGAACTCACGCGTCTGGCACAAACCTTCCTGCACGTCAAGAACTTCCACTGGATCCTGGTGGAGGATTCGCACAGTCGGACAGACCTGGTGACCAGCTTCCTAGCGTCGTGCGGGATCAAATACACCCACCTGAACATTAAAACTCCGGAGGATTACCAGCTGAAGGAGACGGACCCCAACTGGCTAAAGCCTCGTGGTGTGGAGCAGAGGAACGTGGGACTGCAGTGGCTGAGAGAACATCTGGACGAGGACAGTGATAAGGGCGTGGTTTATTTTGCTGACGATGACAACACTTACAGCTTACAACTGTTTGACGAGGTAGTGCTATACATGAAGTCTGAATCAGTCTAGGTGTGATAAGCCATTCACTGTCGAAATATAATATACAATTGGAAGTACCACTGCATGCCAAAGACTTGGTTACTGGGGATGAACATACTTATTTATACAGTTATAACAATGAGAAACCAGCTTCTCATGATGTTGTCTGATGTTGTAATCTATAGTTGATAAGTCATTCAAAAATCATGCACCACACCTCATCAGTTGTTTCTTTTCCAGATGCGGCAAACACGCGGTGTGTCTGTGTGGCCCGTGGGGTTGGTGGGGGGGATGAGGTTCGAGCGACCCGTGGTGGAACATGGCAGGGTTGTCAGGTCTGTTTGAACAATTGTTTTGTAGGGGCACAACTAGTGAACTATCTCATGGGATAACACATCGGCTCTGAAGTTTGGGATGTTTATTCTTATCGATAGTGTTGTGTGGTTCTTCTTATTCCCTTTGAAGGACTGTAAATACTGTGGGTATTTGAACCCTGTGTTGATTTAAACCCTTGTGTTGTATTTCATTTCTACACCCCTGCACCTCAGATGGTACACATACTGGCGACCAGAGAGGCCCTTCGCTATCGACATGGCAGGATTTGCTGTCAACCTGCAGCTGATCCTGGAGAACCCACAGGCAAAGTTTGAGCTGCGTGTGCGGCGAGGTTACTTGGAGTCGTCTCTCTTGGAGCATCTGATCACCATGGATGAACTTGAACCATTGGCAGACAACTGTACCAAGGTTAGGCCAATGTTACCTCTTTCTGTGTATTATAGACTCCAGTTGTTTTTTGTTGTTTAAGTGCAAGTACTTGAGACTAACATTACAGGAGACTGGTACTTGTCTTCCTTTAGAATAAAATTAGATGTAGGGTCTGTTTTGAATTGAAGACAGTTTGTTCTAACATATTCTGCTCCCCACAGGTCTTAGTCTGGCACACAAGGACAGAGAAACCAAAGATGAAGCAGGAAAATCAACTCATTCAGCTTGGGCGACCTTCAGACCCTAGGATAGAAGTGTAGTTAGCACACAAGACTTACCTTGTTATCAATGGTTAAGTATTTTTACCTTACCTAAGTTCAGTGTCACATCAAGGGCTACAAAGCCATTTTTCTATACATGTATTTTGTTTTACCGTATGGTAGTCAATAGGTACACCTTATGTTCTGTGTAACACAATCAGGCATCTAACTCCAAGTGTTCTGTAAAACTACTTAATGAACAAGCCCCTGGTGATATATATATATATAAGAAGTTTACTTCTGTGTAACACAACCAGACACCTGTATATATAACTCCAAGTGTTCTTTAGAAGCCTCTGATGATAAGAGGTTCACGTGTACAACCGATACTTTCTTAGATAGTTCCAGTAACTGCTTCAATGTCATTAAAATCAATCTGAAAGCATACAACTTCTCTGTCTGCTGAGTTTATTTGTTTTTACTAAGTTTGCTTGATAAAAAAAATATAACAGATTTGCCATAATAAACCTTTTAATCAACAACTTTGTGAACAGAATCTCAGTAAAACATAACATCTTTGCTAGCACATAAATGGCTGACTTTATTATGTCAGAAGTATTGTCAAGTATCTTTACTAAAATAGTGAAATCTTTACTATAGAGAAGAAGCTGCAAATAACATAAAACACAAGCTTAAGTACAATAATCCACCCTGAGACTTTTCACACAGAATGTGGATGTTCTTAAGATGGTGTCAACAGTATTAGACTCTACATGTTGTATGTCATGTAATCCCAGAATCAGGTCTGTGTAGCCAATGTGCGTGTAGATTAACCATACTACCAGTAGCTACCGTTTGATGGAACAGAAATATGTTATCTGGACTGCAACATTTTGCTCCCCTGTGATCTTCAACTACCCAGCAGTTAGTTCAGTTACATGTACGTATATCAAGAAAGTTCTCTTTTATACATAATCTAATTGTGCTTGATTCATACATGGGAATCCATTACAAAGAGCACCATTGATAAGATGACTTGCAAAGATATCTGGTGTGAAGAGAGTGACGAGACTTAAGGTTATGGTTTTGTTCAATTTGTGTCATGGTTACATAAGTCATAACTCAGACAGTAGGTTTGGAATGACCTCCACAGCAGTCTCTAGTCTGTGCTTTGCCATTTTTTTGCCAGTTATGACTGTTTTCTGAATTGCTAAATTAAATGTTTTGTAATAAATTTCTCCACTGATCTGATGCCAATCATTGTTTACTCCCATGAACTAGTAAGTACAGAGAATTAAATGTGTTTCCTGTGCAGAAAAACAACAAGACAAGATGCCAGCTGAAAACTGCTATGAAGGTCAGCTTTGGAAGACTGGAACCACACCAATGCAGGATGTGGGAAAATCCATGACACTGGAGGGGTGGTTGGGAAGAAGTTATTCCCGGTGTTACGAGGTAGAATTGGTGTCCTGTGATTGGTCGGTGTCCTGCTGAGTTGCCTCCATCGACATCTTCAGCGCTGCTTGAAGCATCTCATCCTCTGTCATCTCTGACACGGCTGGAATCAACACAAACTTCTGATATGTCAAGTGTTCTAAGTGTCATGGCAGGCTGTGACTAAGGTAAGGTATAATCAGTCAGTGACACTGAAGGTTGAAGGTGGTATATAATCGTGCCTGAGGACTTTGGGGACATCTTAAAAATACTAGTTAGAATTATGTATGGTCATTGAATTTTTTAATATACATGTACATGTAAGTACCTTAGTGCAAGACAATAATTTATATTCCGCTTATCTTCCACTAATATCACTGAAATTTATTGAATCATAAATACATGTACAGTCACTGTACACAAGTTCTTCATGTACAAAATAGATTTGACTGTAATTAAATACAAGTACCTGCTTTTCATTGTTTGTAGAATTATTGTCCTGTGTTTTTTTCATATATCATGCGTAACTTGGCTAATTTGCAGAGATCACCTCCCAGATATCAATAGGTGAATATACAATCTGATGAATATCATAGACTCAAAAAGGTGGCTTTGATTATAGCATCATAAAAAAGTGAAAATAAAAATGAAACTAAAAAAACCTTCCCACACCAACCTGGTTCCTCCCTGCTGGAGTCCTCATCAGGTAAAGAGTCCACCGGGGAAACATCATTCTCTATGGAATTTGGTTTGTTCTGGGGTGGCTCTGCAGGTGGTCCTTTTTCTGGAGATTCAGGGTTGGTCTGTTGTCTGGGGAGATACAGAGACAAAATATTGGCGATGTACCATTAACACTTGTCAACCTTTAGGAATTTGATACTGTTTGTACTACAACTGTTTGTACCATAACTTTTTGCCATAGAGTGCTTAGTTACTTACAGCAGTTGGATCTGCCTCTGACTCACCTTTCAAAGAAAGCCTGTCTCCGCCGCCTCAACTCATCAAGGTCAACAGGGTCTGGTTCCTTTGTCGGGTGGGAGGGGGGTGCACTGCTACTGGCACCAGATGACTCTGGGGCATGGTCCTGCCCTTGCTGGGGAACACTTTCTAGATAACCTGCAACATAGGAACATTTACACTGAAGGTTACTAGTACATCTGGACATTTCTTTATACACAACTTTGCCCCAATAAAAGTGGTAAGTATTGATGTTTTAACAGTATCAGGACAATCATGATGCATTCTATCCTTTTGTGCAGGTTACTAGTACATGTTTGTACAATGTATATAAAAAGTACCCACCTTGCATACTAAGTCTTAGTGCCTCCTGTAGTGACTTGTCGTCCAGCTCATTCTCCTGCCGACTTATTCTCAGAGCCTCAGCCAAGTCTGGGTCATCCTCCTGACTAGACTGCCCCCCGGTACTGGCATCACTCAATCTCCCCTCGTCTTTCTCTCTCTGTTTGTTCACTTCACTGATGAGTTTGGGTCTTTCCAGTTGCACAGCTGGAGATATTCTCAGGATTCCATCTGCTTCACACTCTGGGAGAGTTCCTCGTACAGAATAAATGGAGTAGCCTGGATATAAGACAGGGATGGTGTTCAATATACCAGTCAAAAGGAACAAGTTTCCCAGGACTTCAAACCTTTACATACTGTACATAGCTCATGTTCTTCTTGTTATGACTGGTGAAAGAATTGCTTTCTGTAGGCTAAAACTGGATTGAGAAACATTTCTATGATAGTATGAAGACTTCCACTTTGCTAATTATAATGTTAACTGTTGATTGTTGTGTCTGTGTGTCAAACATACCTTCTTGTTGTAGCTGTGCCAAGAAGAGTGACAAGTAGGTGTCAGATATTAACTCAGGACCAATCAGAAGGGAGTTCAAGTTGAACCACTGCAAGATAGAAGTTTGTGATAAACAAGATACAGACAACCTTCATGGCGAAAACAACAGCAAAATTTGAAATGCTGGTGAAAAATAATACAATTCAGTAAAAATTTATGCCTATGATAGCCTTGTGACATCATAGGGTTTGGGTATATATCTAATGCTGTAGATAATGTGTTATTTCACAGCCACACCTACCTGATATCCCAGTTTCCTGATGGACAACCAGTGTTCACGGAAGTTACAAATGAAAGCTTCCTCTTGTCTGGGGAAAGAGAAGAGAAATAAGTGCATCAAAACACCCAGAATCTAGGAATATTTTGTATCTAAGAATGTGTCTTTCCTCAGTACTGTCCCATATCAAAGTGGAATGCCAGGTTTCATTAAACAAGCTTTTATTTTAGACAGGACCTATGACCTAGGTGTGACAAGCTCTTTGATGTAAGATAACAGACAACTGCAAGAAGGTGGCCAAGTCAGTGAGTGAGCTGCATGTGTGCCTTACGTGGGGTGTTCAGATGTCTCCAGGTATTCCTGACTTGTTATTGGTACCAGTCTCAGGCACCACACTTCCAGCGCCCTACTGATTACCTGGGAACAGAACAAACTAATCTTAGTCTTTTTTTTAATGAAAATGAACAAGGAACCACAAAGTACATCCCTAACAAAGTACAGCTACAAAAGCTTGAAAGAAAAGTAGACAACGGGTGACCCTTACCTGGATGGAAAAGAAGCCACTGTCATCCATATTTGAAGATGGTTGCTGTAGAGGGAAGATAAAGAAGGGTCCTCATTAAGTTTTCCTGCCAACTGACAGGTACTTCTTATGAGATTGTCTGGGCTCAACTACAGTCATTAGATAAGTGCAGGACACTCACTGAGTTTTAGGAGAAAATGAGAAACATTGATTATCTTTCAGCCAATATTAATGCTTTCACCTAAAGAAATGAGTAGGAAATGGTGGCCTCTTCACTAAAATATTGATACATTTGTATATCAATCTTTATTATTATTTACTAGAATAAATGTGGATGGCTTCTGACAAGCCTGGTTCTTAATCTTTTTAAGTTACATGGATGTAAACTAAGTTCCAATATTCTATGGACAAAACAACCTGTATTCTGCCTGATCTGAAGCACCTGTACCATACCTGTAGGAAGTGCTGGTACTCTGCTGTTGTTGTTCCTCCCTCTGCCATCCTCTCACGCTCAGCCTCATCCAGCTGCTGGGCAAACGAGGCCAGGTCCACTGCCGTGAAGTACTCACCTGTGGGAAAACACACGTATGAGTTATAAACAGATGTATTGCATGGAAAATACAGCCATGTGGCATAGGCAAGATGCGACCCATTGCATAGAAATCTCAGCATCTTATCTGAAGATGCAACAATTACATGTTCATATAACGTTACAATAGCATGTACATGGCTCATTCAAATGACAGGGTTTCACAATTTTCATCTTATAGTTATAAGAAACTATGAACAGAAAAAATCTGCCTAAAAACTTAAAGGAATACAAAATTATTTTAGCTTCAGTTCCCTATTCTGGTGACCATTCTAAGACTGTCTGTCATAATAGTGCTAGCTACATCAGATGTCAGATTTTGGCAGGATGCACCTTGTAATCCTGCCAAGTAACACAGATTAGATCAACGCTATTGCAGGTCTAAAAGGCATGGTGTGATTTGGGCAAATGAACAGGTCTGGGTCCATTCCAACACAGACGTAATGTCATTACTATGTCAAATATGCCCATACAAACATTGTGTTTGCAGTCATGTGACTATGACATAATCTGGAACCTATCATGTTGGTGGGTTAGAAACACTAGCAATATACTCTAACAACTGATTTGCCATCACCTCAAATGTGCTTGCTTTTTGCCTCTGCATTATACATGTATGTAGTGCATATCTATAAAATACAGAGAATGGCAACAGTACAGAGAATAGACTACAGCATACAAGTATATATACAAATGTATTTAGTCTTTCTTTGGCTTGACGTGTGCCTTCCACGTCATGACTACTAAAGTACTTGCTATATCTTGCATCTGTATTTCACCAAGATGGCATGAGTTGCAATGTCAAGTACAGTCACACTGCAATATACTGTGAATTTGAATATCTTTTACTTGTAGAAAGTGCCGAGTCTACAAAATATGTGCTTACATACCTTGCAGTAGAGCATTGAGGCAATGCTGGGCACACAGTGAGCCCTCTTGCTGAAAGTGCAAGGGAGCATAAAATGAGTAACGTTATATTTATAACTGTTAACAACAATGGGCACCTGTTCGATCCCAGCAGCATGACCAACTTTATGTCACACGGTGATTCTAAAGCCTGGTTTTAGTCAGCCCTAACCCTCAGAGGGACACTAGACTTTAATTTTTCAACTCAGCGGCGTCATAATTTATGAGGAAGCGAAGTTTCATGCCGGTCCTGCGCCACTCCCTAGACGGCAATAATATTATGATAACATTACTGAACCTGACCTTAATAGAGGATCAATAGCACATCTGTACGAAAATTAAGTTTCATAAATATGTTTATCTATTGTGAGTACTAGAGAAAAATATTTCTTTTTAATGTTGGGGACGTTTCTAAGAACTCATGAACAACGCTTCCGGTATCTTCATGCGGTATCCTCAACATTCATGATGACAAGCAATCCATTGTCATAAAAACATTACGTCCACCGAGGGCAGAAAAGTACCACTCTTGACATAAAATTTCATACAGCTATAATGAGAAATATCCAAGGTTTGCGAAAAAAATAATCACCGTCCTAAATGGCTGTTATCTGAAACGTAATCGCTGGAAAAAGTCCTCAACAACTCACCTTTTCGTGAAAGATTGACTCCATTTTGGAAAATGACGTCAGTTCTCCCAGGGTGCTCTGCGCGGGGAAAACCCTGTTTATCGATTGACCAATCAAATAGCGCAGTATTTCATCCTGACCAATCAGCGTTTAGTTCAATGTGTGGCAATTTTTAAACAGCTGTGCAGGCCAGACGGAGAGGACGCTGCAGCTCTTCCTTCTGACTCCCATTTTTCAGTCCTTCATCGTGCAAAAAAAAGCCAATTTTCTGGTTTGTACTCAACAAACAGTGATTTGACAACACAGAGGCATAATTTGCTTCTCAAAGTTCAGGTGGATTGACGCGAAAATCGCAATTTTCTACCGGATTTTTATTCTTTGGTAGCTTTGTTTGTTTTGCGGAATCAACAGCTCGAGACGAAGCCAAGCCAAGCCAAGCGCAGTTCAGCATCATGCCTACTACTTCAAGACTCGAAGACTACGAAGTTCTGTACACCATTGGGACCGGCTCTTATGGAACCTGCAAGAAAGTTCGCCGGAAGACCGATGGCAAGGTAGCAGGCTTAGCTTTGTGTGAACCTTTCGATTTGTTTGTTCTCAAATGTCGCATAACAAAGAAATTGCATGTGAAGCTTGGCAGGCGTGGCTGTTGTTTGAAAATTATTTTGATTACTAGTACTATGAACATAGCTTGATATATCTCGTCAAGAGAAAAGCACAGAGGTATCTTGGCATGTAGCTGACCAAAAGTAGCTGGGACATTGGCGAACTGATTGAAACGATGCTATTAGGATCTAAAACTAAAAAAGTCCCTGTCCGAATCTTGTGTAACTGGTAATTAGCGCCTCTGACAGTTATACATACGAATTAGAAACTCTGGCCGCCTTTGTTGAATAGCCAAAGCACCATACAAGAATTTTGCGCATGTTGCAGACAATTTTATTTGTCGCCAAGCACTCCCCAGAAGTGGTAGGACAATTGTGTTCCAGTCACCTTGAGGGACAGGCTATTAGTACTATTACCAGGATATTGTTTGTGAGAATGTTGTGTGACAAGCTGGTTTTACCAGGTGTCATGTCCTCATTATGTCAGAAGCTTGTGTGTCACAACTCATAAGGTCATGATCTCATCCAGCTATAATACATTCAAATCTACACTTTGCTGCAGTGTAGAAGGAGATGTGACCCCAAATGAGGATGAGAAAGGTTAGGTTCTTGTACTGATTGTTACTAATGTTATTGTCTATTATCTATTGTTGTGCAGGTCCTGGTGTGGAAGGAAATGGACTATGGCACCATGTCGGAGGCGGAGAAGTCCATGCTGGTGTCGGAGGTGAACCTGCTGCGTGAGCTGAAGCACCAGCACATCGTACGGTACTACGACCGCATCATCGACCGCAGCAACACCACCATCTACATCGTCATGGAGTACTGTGAGGGCGGCGACCTGGCCAGCCTCATCTCCAGGTGTCGCAGGGAAAGGTAAGGGTACAACAATAGGCTATTGTGGTCAAGTATTTGTGATCTTTCAATTTTTCTTTGCTTTCTTTTTTCTTACTTCATTCATTCATGTACATGTATTGAAATTTTTTCATTCATTCAACCACAAACTTTCATCTCCAGACGATATTTAGAGGAGGACCTGATCTGGAAGCTGTTCTTCCAAATCTGCCTGGCGCTGAAGGAATGTCACAACCGACGTGACGGAAAGACATTCCTGCATCGTGACCTGAAACCTGCCAACGTCTTCCTGGATGCTAACAAGGATGTGAAGCTGGGAGACTTTGGGCTGGCCAGGGTTCTGGCTCATGATACCAGCTTTGCGAAAACATTTGTTGGGACACCATACTACATGTCTCCGGTGAGATGTCTGACAGCTTTGTTTTACTGGGTAAACACGATGATAACACTACAGTGACCACAGAGAAAACACACTTCTTAACTCTTGATCATGTTAAAGATCCCACCACACTAACAACAATTTGTTCAGAATCCCTTGTGATGACAATTCTAGAAAGGAAAGAATCAGTCATATTGTGTAACATATTATATTGTATTTTTGTTTTCACAGGAACAAATGAACAACATGTCGTACAACGAGAAGTCAGACATCTGGTCACTAGGGTGCCTCATCTACGAACTCTGCTCCTTGTCGTGAGTTAATTTTATCTGTTTCACATCCAGGCAGTCCTGTGCATTTTATCACAGATTTAGGGAATGAATATAAGGAATTAAGGTTATCCTCTAGTATTAGTTTTATTTTCTTGGAAATACAATAATAGAATTATCCTCATACAAGCTTGTCAATTTGTTCCTCTGTAATTTTCATTTATTTCTATGTCCTTTATACAATAGTCTGTACACATGATAAAAATTAGTTAGGAACTTTGTGTAAGTGAATGAGCGATATGATTGTTTGACAGGCCACCCTTCCTGGCAGCCAACCAGAAGCAGCTGGCTGTGCGTGTGCGGGAGGGGAAGTACCGCCGAGTTCCGTACCAGTACTCAGACGAGCTGAACTCCGTCATCGGCTCCATGCTCAACATCACGGTGAGACAAACCTGCCTGTTCCTCATCAGCTGAGCTACTAGGCTCACCTCAGTCCACAAGCATGTCCTTTGGTCCCTTAGTAAACTTTGTGTGAATTTGGCTAGTTGGTAATGAAGGATCTTGTGAAGACAGTCTATAGTGCAGGGCACTACAATTTTTACAAACTCTTAGTCTACATTTTCACAAAGACTTTAACCTAGTACAAAACTGTGTGTCTGCAACCCAGGATGACTGTAGGCCAGACATAGAGACATTGCTCCTGAGACCACAGCTGGCCTCTCGGCTGAGGGAGTACAATGCCAAGAATGAGAAGACAGAAGCTCCACGCCGCAGGTCACGTGAAGACACGGAAGGTCGCAGGAGATCACGAGAGAGGGAGGACCTGTTAAAGCAGAGGGAGGACGCTCTCATGGCAAAGGAGCGTTCCTTGGAGGACAAGGAGAAGGAGGTGGAGGGTAAGTCTGGAGAACTTTTGGAAGGTCACTCTTCATCTGGTATTCTGGCCACAGACTCAATCTGGTGAAGTTAGTACCACAGACAAACATTTGTTATTGTTTCTGAAGTACTGATCTGCTTTGTCTATCATTTCAGCCCGAGAGAAAAACCTAGCAGTAAGGGAAAAGATTGTGGAAGACAAGTTAGCAAGGTATGATGTTTTTGCTTGTTTTCTGTACGCGTCTCGGAAAATTTGACCTTGAACCTTTTTCATCACAGTTATTGAGATTCATCTCTCAAATACAGTACCTTAAAATCAGAAAAACTGTTTTGTTGTGCAGGGCTGAGTCACTGATGAAGCAGTACACTGAGCTGGCTGTTGCCAAGGCCAACCGGGCACTGGCTGATTTTGACATCAATGCTGACGACACATGCACAGGTAGACTCTCACCTCGGCTTACTGACAACTACTTACGTGTCAGAGAGAGGAAGAAAGGGAGGGGATGTCGGTCTCCTTTGTAAGGGGGGGGGGGTAGTTTCTTTGAATGGGTATTGGTCTCTCATGAAAGGGGACAATTTGTCTGGTTTCCACAATAACAAGCAGATGGTTTTTATTTCCATATAAAAGACCAGTTTTTAGAATCACAATTTTTTAAATTTACGAGTTACTTCCTCCTGAAATTTCTCATTTTTATGTTATTTTTAACAATGTGAAGGAAGAAAACTTCCAAATGAATGTTTTACAAAAAACATGTCCAGTACTAAGATTGTTTTCTTTCCACCTGGAGATTGGTAATACAGTCTAAGTGGTGCTGCTGATTGTCTGTAGCTGATTCCACTATTATATTGTCAGGTGTTTTGGGGGACCCACATGCTGCATGCGGCATAGCTGACAGTAGAGTCCCAGCACAGAAGTCTGCGTCTTGTAAACTGTGGGGAGTGTTGTGGAACATTGGGCTGTACTCGTGTCTCACTGTGGTCATGTTACAAATGGCACTACCATTTCTGTGAAACTGGATGATGATTTGAATCATGTCTATGAAAGAGCTTTGTTTTAACAATGGACATTTCTGCTCAAATGTCTTCATAATAAAGTCTTTTTAGTGCAATGAAAGGCCATGGCAATGTTTTAGAGAGTAAAATAGAGATTTTTTAAGTTGTTTGGTATTTGTGATCTTGTAACTAAGGCTGATTGCTTATTGAACCAATAAAGGAAAAAAATTCAAAAAATTTTATCTGATAATTAGTGACAAAATTCTTAATTAGATTAACCATGTCAGCCAATCAATGCAGGACTGGATAAAACCACCTTATTTGCATATTAGTCAATTTGCATATCAACTTGTGCCTCTAGTTCTACCATGTTCACAAGCAGGCAATAATGAAGCTAAAATTGATTCAATTTAGTGTCATTGAAATTGATATCTTTCTGTAACAGCTTCCAACTACAAAATGTATTTTTTTATTTTTTCTCTGAATACCATTCTAACTTTCTTCTCTCTTTTGCAGAGAAATCCCTGTCTAAGAAGAAGGTGCATTTCTCTGTTCTCCCTGGGAAGGAGAATGAGCGTGGCGATGATGACCTGGGATCAAGCTTCATCTCCCAGTACAATGGCTACAAGGCAGGCGGGAACAAGGCTGAGCTGAAGGCACGACTGGACAGGGCCAGGATACGGGGTGTGGCACTGAAGCATGTGGAGGCTAATGCCACCTTCAAGAGTAGACAGCTACTGGGCATGAGATAGACTTGGAAAATGTTAAGTGTTAGAGAAAAACACAATCATTACTAGGCACGAGAAAGTCTTGGTATGAGATAAGACTTGAGGAAGTTGAGAAAAAGGAACTTAATATCTGTACTACTGACAGAGATCCCTAAAGTGTTTATCAGCTTAGAGTTAGCAATACAGTATTACTGTAGAGTTGTCCGTTTGGGATTGCTTCTCAAAAACCACACTTGGTGGTTGCTATACATGCAAGTGACTTGATTGCAATATGATTTCTCTATTGTGAATCACCTCTTGTCAACAGTGCTATGTACATAGTCTCTATTGCCTGAACAAATCACTGTAAATACTCTGTAAAAAAAAATCTGAGCCCATGATTGAAGAAAACTATCACGTATGCAGTGTTTACATTTTTATTGTGTTATGTTGTGTGAACATAGACTATGTTTAGTCTTACAAATAAATCTATTTGTAAAGAAACGGTTGAACTGTTGTGTTCATCTCAGAAAGCTTGGGGTTCATACTTCATAGTTATATTTCTGACAAAAAAAAGAAGATACTTCTTTCACTTGAATGAAGTTGCTGGATTTTAGCTGTATACAGGTACTGTATCAACAACAAAGATGCTTGGAAATCACATTTCTGGTCTTGAAGAATAACCATATAGATCATATGAAAGTCTGTCATCCCATGTCTGTCACCATGGCTCCTTCTCCCCAGGCTTGAGCTCTCTGTGGAACAGCATGCTCTTGTTCTTGAAGGCAGCCAGCCTGTGAGTGGACTCGTAGTTGTTGATCCACATGCCGATGAGGAAGCCCCCCAGGGGGAGTGACAGGGACCAGTAGTCCTTCAGTATGGTCCGCACTGCATTCACAACCATGGCTGTGGTGCTGGGACCTACATAAAACACAAGGATTCATATTGACGTATAACTGAACAGATTTGTCTCTATGTCTGAAGGAAATAAATCATAGCCATTAGTATGAAAACATTAGTATGAAAACGCTACTACATGTATGAGCTGTGTAGATGGAAGATTTATCTCTGTAACCACAAATACATTGTAGGTGCAACTGAACTCTTGACTCAATGCATTGCCCTCAATGTGTGCCATCAGAGCACACATTACCATCCAATAAGTTTGATTTACAAATACAAGCAATAGATTATGAAGCTGCTAGTGCAATGCTAGCCAACATGTTGAGACCGTTAGAAGCATCTTATATCATAGCCTGAGTTTCAAAATCTCTCTCTGTCAGGGGATGATTTGACCTGTACTTCTAGGGTCCTGGAGAATACCGGTCGTTTCGTTACATGGTCGTTTCGTTACAGACGTTTCGTTACATGATGGAAGTGGTTTCGTTACATGACATTGAGTCATTTCGTTACAGGGTATAGTCAGGTACTCTTTTCACATGGGGATTTACTAACACATTAGAGCTGCTGTCACTTATGTGTAATGTAGTAGTTTCCCCCGAATTTTGATGAATTTTGCAGATTTTCAAGCAGACTGCGGCGGCAGATTTTCGGCTGCGACGGCGGGGACTGTTACCTTTCTCCGCACTAAACAGCAACCAGGCGAAGTCTCAAGTTGGCGACCACGACAATAAAAGCTTAAAACATAGCGATATTCAACATATATAAGGCGATGTGTACAATAATCAAACATTTTTAGACGTTCATGTGCGTGTGCGGCGGGCCTGTGGCGCCGGTATGTTGGCGGGCCAACATAATAAAAATGACGCACACACTTTCGTTGGCTTCCGGTGCGCCGACAAAATGCCAATAAATCGACATACAATACCGCTTCAAAGTTTATCTGTCAGACTAAAACCACTCATCACCATTTTCTTACTAAATAATGCCCATGTGGCAGCGTAGAACGAGATAGAACCAGAAAATAAAACGTTTCCGTACAACGCACGCAAAAATTCTTCGCCACCGACAACTGATGCTATACCGGCATGCATCGCGTGACCCAGGGGGTCTTCTTTTCTTCCGGTAATGAACCCCGCTAATGCTATGCCCGGTACGAATAAAGAAACGGAAATAACGACGCCGGATTTCATGACACCAACAAAACAAGATTTATTAACACGAAGTTTTATTTACACATTGTATTTACTGTAACTTAAAAAAAAGTTTTATTCACTGTAGTCGTTTTAGTTGCAACCAGTCATTTAATCAAGAAATTACTATCTACAACTATGTCCGATAACAATATTAAACCATGCAAAATGATCGGGAGTCACATAATCAAGAGATTACTATCTACAACTATGTCTATTAAAAATGCTGAATGATCGGGATAGTTGTAACTGAGAAGTCACATAATCAAGAAATTACTATCTACAACTATGTCCAATAACAATATTAAACCATGCAAAATGATCGGGATACATAGTCAATAAATTACTATCTACAACTCATGATGTCCATTATAAATGCTGAATGATCGGGATAGTTGTAACTGAGTCACATAATCAAGAAATTACTACTAGTATATACAACTATGTCCAATAACAATATTAAACCATGCAGAATGATCGGGAGTCACATAATCAAGAAATTGCTATCTACATGTACAACTATGTCCATTAAAAATGCTGAATGATCGGGATAGTTGTAACTGAGAAGTCACATAATCAAGAAATTACTATCTGCAACTATGTCCACATCAAAATACACGTCAATGTTCACATCAAAGTACACATCAATGTCCAGATCAATGTCCACAGCTTACTCCTCATCCTCGGACTCAGACTCGGACTCACCACGATCCGTGTAGTGCCGTGCCGGCTCCGGGCAGTAGTGGCTGGCGGCACGCAACAGTTCGCTGGCAGTCAGCTCCCCATCTTCGTACCTCTGCCAAAGCCTGAAGATCTTCTCCTGCGCCTCCCTGCTCCCCTTCCTTTGCGTGCGTGACAGCTTCTGGTCCCTGACGAGGCGGATGTTCAGCTCCACGAGCGCTGCTTCCTTCTCAAGCTGGGGTACGAGCAAGTAGAACGGCAGGTGGCACTTGTCGGCAGCTCTCTTGTTGAGGGCATTATGCCACCCCTCAACGTCATTGTTCGTTCGGACTGCCTTCTTGAAGACAGTACATGACTGGGGAGGGTGGAACGTGGACTTTACCCACCGCTTGTCCACGTAGGCTACGAACCTCATCAGTGCCGGTGTGGTGGCCTGTGTCTTCAGCCTCTCCCATTCGGCTGGGATCACCTCCGGGGGCAGCACTGGCAGTGACAGGATCTGTCGCAGATACTTGTAGGTCGCACCCTTCCTCATGTAGGTCGTCTGAAGCCCGAGCTTCTGAATCCGTCTGAAGAGGCACTGGGCCCAGTGGAAGCTGCATCCCATCTTCCTCACGTCGGGTAGCACACTGGACATTGCTGACCACATCGCCTTCTCAAAGTCCATCATGGCGCGCGTCACGTTTGCTGTTGGCAAGATCTCCACGATCTTCTCGAGGACTTTCCTGTAGTCGTCTTTTTCTCGTCGAGACATCAGCACAAACACCAGGGGGACGCTCTTGATGCACTCATCCTTTTTCACAAAGGCACTGATGGTGAACAGCTGGGCGAATGGTGCACGACACAGTTTGAAAGTTCCGTCCATGTACCATGTCTTCGCGTTAGACAGGTGTTTTAGCTGAATGTCCGTTGCAAAGATCAGATGTCGCTGTCCGCCTACCCGCACATCCGCTCTGAAGAACGACGCTGGGACGTGATTCTCATCAACGACAAAGTTCAAGTCTTTCGGTTCTTCGGGTCGCAGCTTCTGCCGGTGACGATTGGCTGCCCTGGCCAAATGTTCCGGCTTCCGAAGTGATGGGCACGGCGAATCGCCCAGTTCTTCCAACAGCACATCGTCAACAATGGCCGCTGCTGACTTAAACAAGTCCTTCTCCGCTTCAGCCTTCACCCGGGCCGCGATCTTGGCCGCTGTCGCCGCACCCACATCGGGCCCATGGTTGTGTTGGTGGGGGCCTGCCTCGAACACACCATCCCGCTCCTTTACTGTAGCCTTGCACGGCGCGCCTTTGGGTCGAACGGTACAGGTCTAGTGTACAGCGCCACTGGGTAGGCGACGCTGCACCCCGAACTTGTAGCCAAGGTTGTCGATCAGCTGCAGCTGTCCTCTCTTTGATGCCCCCTCGACCACCTCGTAGGTACATGGCACCGGATGGTCGTCGACCTCCATCTCCTCCAGAGCGGATTCCTCGAGGGAATCCTCCATCGACTCGTCCACTTGGAACGCGGCCGGCGGTGACATGGCTGACTGGTCTTCGATGATGGAAGTTGGACCCGTGGTGTTGACAGTTGTGTCCATGTCGCTCTCCGCGCGTGTTGCACGACAGTTGCTACATGCCCATACTCCGATATCTGCTTCTCCTCTACAAAGCTGTCTGTAGAGTTCTTGCGATATACCTTAAAAAAGACGAAAAAGAAAACTATCAATACAAAGCCTACAGATACAGGTGGCAGGGGGTCGCAAAGTGGTGAATTTAATAAGGTCGTTAAGGCCATGTTGATTGGATGACATCATCAATTTAAAATTTAAAAAAAAGTTTTCAACCACACTGCAAATCAAACGGAAAAAAAAGACGAAAATGTAAGAAGAAACATGTCAAAACCAACATGTCGTATGTTGTAAAATCCTTCACAAATTATTCCAACCCTTGGTCAATGTTTACAAAGAAAAATTCATATTCCTCATGAAACTCGATAATCCTCGTATTATATTATAAGCTCCATCTGTTCTTACATTTACAACTGTTTTAAGAAGCGAGAAGTAGAACCTGTACATTTGTAGTTTTTTTATCATTCATTCCCCACTACACATGATGGTAACAGCTTCCATTTCGCCGCGCAGAATCGAAGGCTTTCTTGAAATCAACAATAAAATCCACCCAAACCCCCGTGTGGATATCTGTTGATCAATCAGAGTTTTGAGCAGAAATACATTGTCACTTGTTCGGCAATTTGTTCGAAAGCCAGACTGAAATGCCCAAGGACCACTGGATAAGGTTTACGTTAATAGGCTAAGTGTGGAAAACGTAACGAGACACGAAACTGACACGAGAGGAAAATGAAAAAAAATGCAATTGCCTACCTGTATTGCACGTTCTGTGTTGCCATCCAAAGCACCGGTCACATTGTAGAGCATGCTGTCTCTCCCTGACGCTCGAATCGCACACGACGCACAAAGCCATGATTGAAACGAATGACTGAATCCCTCTACATCTCTGTCTTTTAAAGGCAAAAGCTAAGTTGTCTTGCACACACATGAGTCACACGCCGTCTCTTTTGAGGTCCGAAAGTCATTGTCTTTAAACACCCAAAAGAACCCGACAAGCCGCCTGTGATCTGCCGTGAACAAAAGTTGAAAAAGTTGTCTGGACAACGGTTTTAAAAATCCAAGCGAAAGTCTCTTTGTAGTGTTGATGTATTGTTGTAATAATAGCAACAATGAAAAACCGCCAGTTATCTTTTGAAACTCATTTGTTGTCTGTGCTTCATGGGTTAGTGTAATTCTTTTATCATTCATTTATTAGCCAGTGCGCTAACATCCATCAAAGACTGTGGTGCTAGACAACTGGATGTACTCTATGGGTCTCTACGTTTCACTGTCTTATTTTTCTTGAGTTTTTCAAGTCTTCCTCTACCGCGCCCACAACTAACTGTTCTATATAATAGATAACGCTAGCTGTTGTTAGCTATGCAATTTCCCTGTTACGTAAAAAATTGTTTCGAATAAAAAAACGCAGTCAAATCTCGCGCCACCAGATTTGCCGCATTGGCTGACGGGATGCTGACGTGACCACAACGTTTGTATACACGCCATCGGCGCCATTTTGTTTCTTTGTTTAAATTTTACGGCGAAAGATCTCAAAGGGATTTACACTATGAGTGTACAGTTTGTGGACTCAAGTTGTACATAAGAAGGTGATGACTTCACTGCCGACATACTTACCTTCATTTTAAGCCCAAATTGACACCGATGTCATTTAATTCGACATAGATAAACATGCTTGTTGTTGCGGAAGGCTTGTGTGTGCTTGTGTGTGGTTGTGTTTCGTGTATAGCTCTAGCGTACGTTCGCCAAAATTCTGACAAATGAGCGGCGTAACTAAGCGACTTCCACTATATATGTTGAATATCCGTATGTTCTAAACTTTTATTGAAAGCAAGTAGTTGTCGTGAACGCCAACATGAGGAAAGGTTACAGTCCCCGCGCCGCTGGTCGGTGTTTACTGCGGGGACAGGTTACAGTCCGGCCGCCGCTGGCCAGCCAACTCCCCTCGGGCTCAACTCCCCCGTAGTGGTAATTTAGGCAGGCGGGCGAATGGCTCTCGGCTGCCGAAGGAAAACGGCTAACCGATACTAGTTTGGCATCCAGGGTATGTTTACTGCGGGGAAAGGTTACAGTCCCGCCGCCGCTGGTTGGTGTTTACTGCGGGGAAAGGTTACAGTCCCGCCGCCGCTGGTTGGTGTTTACTGCGGGGAAAGGCTACAGTCCCGCCGCCGCGGTCGAAAATCTGCCGCCGCAGCCGAAAATTCATCTGCAGAATTCATCAAAATTGGGGGGAATCACTACAGTACAGAGAAATGATGGTAACTATAATGTGTAACGAAAGCACTTTTCCGTGTGTAACGAAATAACTGAATCAATGTAACGAAATGACTATAGGTCCATGTAACGAACTGGTCATGTAACGAA